AAACCCTGAAGCAATTAGTTTTTCCTCCCCGTTGCTCCTGGGTCTGTGTTGTTTGTATATTTTAATACAGTGGATGGAACACGGGGTTTGTACTCACGGGTGACCTCAGTCTTTCTGCATTCTGTCTCTTTTCGCTCTTCTTCTGTGAATCTCAATTTCCGACTGCCTGCCTCAGGCCATGAATAAGAAAATCGACATCATCAAAGGCCTCTTTGTGGCATGCCGCTTCGCCGAGGCCCGCTACATAGTCAGGTGAAATAACGCTCACACACACACACACACATACAGACAGACAGACTCGACTGTGTGTGTCATCACAGGCATGCATACACATCTGCAAGTAGAGATGCACATACATATACATGTTTGCATGTGTGAATGCTCAGGCATGTAGCCACTGTCATGGGCAGCAGGTTCCGACACTCACCACTGTTGGTCTTGTGGTTTTGATCGACAGGTCCCTGGCTGGGAAGCTGAGGATAGGCCTGGCTGAGCAGAGTGTCCTATCAGCACTCAGTCTGGCTGTGTGCTTGACCCCACCTGGACAAGGTAGCCTGGAATTTTAAAGGATGTGTTGAAAAGCTTTTCATCTCAAAACAGCAGTCGGTCTCCCGGCGTGTACACTGAGCTAGTGTCTGCTTGTTGTTATCACCCCTCCTGCTCACGCTGGCCATGAAAAGACCTCTTTCCCGACGTGATTCAAACGAAAGTGACAAAATCCACAGTTCCTTCTCCATGAAACTCTGTTTTCAGGAGCTTATCTGAATTTAATTTGAGGCTTCTACTGTCTGAGTTTAACAGTTGAGAAAGTTACAGTGGTGTTTATTACTTTAGATCCAGCTCAGGCAGGGAAACACGAAGACAAAATATTCTTTTTCAAAAATGCTTTGGAAGGCTCAAATTGGCTTTCTGAATATTTTTTTTTCACAGATCAAGGACTGTACATTTTTACAGTTTCCTTGTTCAAATTAAAGTTTGCAGACTTTCTTTGTGTTTAAAAATTCTCCTGTACTTGTAGTCTAACTCATTAAAGGAGAGGAAGGTGGGCTGTTTAAGTCGAGCGATAGATAGTTTAATTTATCGTCAGTCAGTTAAAGCAGTGTCAAATATTCTTTGGAATTCATTAGAACAGTTAAAGATGAAATTTCATATAATGGGTAGAAGCAAACACAGAACAAACTCAAACAAAAAACATTTTTCTCTGTTTGTGATTGACGTACCCTCTCACCACCGTGTTGCTGAATTCATCACTTCCAGGTGGAGAGTTAAGAGCTTATCTCTCAGCACTGAGCTGGCCTCCTCTTACCAACGCCACAGACACCAGATAAAATAAATTCATCCCTGACTTATTAGTATTCGCGCCCGATTCTGGAGGAGAGGTATGCTTTAATAAGAGTCAATTAGACCAGAGGCTCGGTGGGGAAATTTGCATTGATCTGTGGTCTGGTCGGGAAATGTTTTTCTTAGCTTTTTTATTTTTTTTTTATTATTTCATTTGCCATTATTTTATCAGGCAGGTCAACTCGGAGTAGATTCTCTGTAGAGCTCAAGTGGATCATTGCAATTAATAATTTAGTGGTCAGTCGTGTTCTAAAGACATCGTGATTATTCATGTGAAACTGCCTTCAGTCTCCTCTGAAACATTTCAAACAAACTAGAAAACACTGAGGTGCGGGTAAATACAAGTAATTGGGCCGCTCCGAGTCTCATATTTCCTGGACGTTTGAAGTGCCTCTGAAGTTTTAGTGCAACAAATATTCGCTCATACAGATGTTCTGACACTCTGTTTGAAATGCATTTCTCCCCTCCTCCCTTGCAGATTTCCCTCCCGCTGTGATCGATGCCGGGAAGGGGATGAGCACTGAGAGCAGGCGGGCCTGGATCGAAGAGAAGAGTCTCATTCTCAAACAGACTTATTGGTAACTGAAGCCTAAACAAACCCTCTCGTTTGACTTTGCAGTGTCTCCTCGGTGCCACTACAATGCCTTATCCCCTTTAAGCCCAGTCCCTCATTCTCCCTCACTCATTCTGCTCACTTTCATTTTGGATGATATTGATTTTTTTTTCTTCTTCTCTCTTTTGTTTTTCTTCTCAAACACCCTTCTTTGTCTCTGACTCCTCCGGGTTTCAGTGAGATGCCCAATTACGACATCCTCATCCCCGTTCTCCTGAAAGAGGGCATAGACCAGCTACCCAATCACTGCAAGCTCACTCCAGGTAAGCACCCAATCAAGAGGCAGAAAGGTTATTTAATCCAAAATGGTGACTGGAGTGTGTTTATTGATCCGCTCAGTGGAGGTGAGTCAGTTATTTTATTTGAGTCATTTATCACTGAAAGATAAAAGATACTACGCTGGGGATTAGCTCCCAATTACACTGTTGTCAAGCTATTTGTGATAAGGAGCCCTGGCACCAAGGTAGGAAATTATTACCAGCCACCATCTGAGCGGCACTAAATTGAGAAACTAAATTGGACGTTGTTGGTCAGTTAGACAAATCTCGCTGCTACTTTGGCAGGTAAACAGTTGTCATTCAGGGAGCTTTGTTGGTGCTATAATGCATTTGTAGTTAAAGGAGCTGTTGAATTATTTTTTTTTTTGGAAAGCACCAGTCGGTTTGGGCAAAACATGACTGTCCTGTCAATTCTGGCTTGGTGCTGTGTAAGCTACTATTGAACCATTTTTTTTTTTTTTTGGTGAGTATGTTTCATTATCTCACCCCCCTGCTGCCTCTGTAGCTTAACTTGACGGCGCAGCCCGAGGGGGGATATGAGTCAGATAACTTTCGTTTTGGGGCCAAATGAGAATGCAAACAAACTTATTTTCATCTGTGATTTAGTCGCAGATGAAAAAGTTGTGGGTGTGATGTTGATGTGTCATGTGGGAATGTGTCACTGAAGCTAATTTCACAGCTTCTCGGTTTCTTCCGCGATCTGCCTCACTCTCGTAACCTGCAGGCCTGTTAGCGCCAGCCCTGCCCCTCCTCTTCACATTCACCGAAAAAGTAGAAAATGAAGAGAACTTCTCCTTGGTCGCTCACAGTTTGTTTCTCAGCTGTTTATAATTCATGAAAAATGCATAACCGCATCTTTGTCTATTGATTGGTCAGTGTCCCGCTGTGTTTAGCTGTTTAATTCATATTGTCTCGCCACCTTTCTTCTCTCAGGTGTACCGCTGAGGCCCATGTTGGCTCACCCCACAAAGGGCGTTGGCGAGGTGCTGAAGAGGTTTGACGAGGCGGCGTTCACCTGCGAGTACAAGTACGACGGCGAGCGTGCACAGGTGTGTGTGTGTGTGTGTGTCTATGTGCATGTAGGTGGCTATGTGACAGAGTGCAACTGTTTTCCCTGTGTTTGGCAGCGAACATATGCCTGCTGAATTTTGTATGCGTATACCTCACGGCTATGTTCTTTGAGTATGAGATATTGCTGTTCTGTGACTCTCACTGTGTGTTCACTTGACTGTGTGCATGCATGCATGGTCTTTCTGTGGTGTGTGTGTGTGTGCGCACCTATTCTTTTAAGATAAACAGTAGTGCTGCTGTGCCCTGGGCCTGTAGGCAGAGCAGGCTACCTCTACCATTGTGAAAGGAGGAGGAGGAGGAGGAGGAGGGGTGGGGTTGGAGATGTAGAGCAGTGAGGAAAGAGACTGGAGACGGTGGAGGCGAGACACATTAAGAGACAGAGGGAGATGAAAATGAAGACACAACGGTGAAACAGCAGGGGGGGGGACGAGGAAATGTTGAGCAAGAGACACATGAAGAGACGTAGTTGGAGAGAGACTGTAATGTAAACCCCCTCCAGCTGTATTGTTAATTTTGGACAGTCATGCCAATAAAGTGTCTTTGAACTGAGCTGAATTGAGAAGAAGAGAGATGAGCAGGGAGAGAAATGGAGAGAGAGGATGAAGAGAGAGTAAACGTTATGACGTCCTCCTCTTATTGCTCTCTCAGTTTTCTCTATCCTCTCCCTCTCCCTCTCTCTCTCTGTTCTCACTGCAGTGGACTTTACCTCAAACCGCCAGCAGAGGGACTCACGATTCACCACTCACTAAAGACTCACTGTGCACGTGTGTATGTATGTGTGTGTGTGCGTGCGTGTATCTGGGTTTGTGGCAGTTGCTGAATCAAAATAACTGTAAGTATTCATGCAGTGTGTTCCATCTAATTAGGCAAGGGACTTATTGTGTGTGCATGTATTTAATTTTCCTATAATTATTTATCGGCGATGACACCTTATTGATCAGTCTGAAAAAAAAGAACTGGAAATGAGCCAGAGTCGTCTGTTGTTCCGCGTTAAAAGGCGACCTAAATTATAATGAGGCTATTTAGGGACCTAATGAGGAAAAACTGGGTTTAAGACAATGCACCTCATTTCAGAAGAGTCTTTATAAAATACACTGTCTGTCGTTACCACCCTTGAATCAATCTGATGGAGATGTGTGGCAGCAGAGAACACACGATCTGAGAGGTCTGCTGGATCAGTGTGTTTGCCGTTTCGTGCTGGGAGTTGCCACCCTGTCCCCGGCTGTGGGATAAGATGTGCCTTGAATCAGCCTCCATTCTCATGAAGATAATAATAATCCTGACATGACTTCTTCTGGTAACCTAGACTTGTTATCTGGGAAGGGTGTCCACTAAACAGACTGACTGAAGTGTCCTTGGGCAAGATACTGAAACTCTGACCCTGCTGTGCCGACAGTGTGTGAATGGGTGAATGACTTGTACGCTAAATCGCTTTGAGTGGTCGATAAGACTGGAAACGCACCCGTACACTGTAAATACCCTTCTGCCACAGACTGAAGTGATCCTGTCGTACAATTAACAACAACTGAGGCTCATCGACTTCATTATTTTATTCACCACATCATCTTTTTATCATTTCTCATCAAACATCTGTTTAACTCAATATCGAGATTCATATATTTCAAGTTTTTTTTTTTTTTTATGGAGCCCAAATTTACCCTTAATAGGTTTTTACCAGGCCCCACAGTATATCACTTTAGACCTTCGATATGGAGAAATAGTAGATAAGCCTGAGGAACATCCACAAAGTAAGAATCCCTGCAGGACAGACAGACATGCAATAGATACAGATACAAACTATATCTCCTGTATTCATCTGTGGGTTCATTTCCAGTCCTTGGCATCGCAGCGTGCAGGACATGATGCCGGTAGATGTCTTGCGGAGTCTGTGCCTCGGTGAGTCAGAGATGTTTTGGCGGCACAAGGACGAGCTTGATCCTTTTAATCAGGTGGTTTGAAATGGTGGCTGATGAGTGTGTATATATATATTGACGATGGAAACTAGCACTCAAGACTGTGAATTCCACAGAAATATAACCATTCCTCGAACATCCACCGATCAGATAAACACTGACCAGTTTAAATTGTTTTTTTAATTTGTTCCTATTGTATTTCTAATCTTGCGTTCTTTATCCCCCCCCCACCACCACCACCACAGATTCACATTCTGGAGAGCGGCGAGGTGCGGATTTTCAGCCGCAACCAGGAAGACAACACCAGCAAATACCCTGATATCATCTCTCGCATTCCCAAGGTAAAACAGTTGAACACACAGAGCGCTGCAGCTCAGCCCCTGGGAGAGAGGCGAGACGATGTGAGCCGTGATTGTCAACCGATGGCTTTTACAGTGTGCAAATAACAACTGCACACATTTATCTCGCTCACTCAGTCTTTCATTTCTGCCATTTTCCTTTAACCCACCTCTCATCTCTGTGGTTTCCGTGCGCCCACTCCTGCTCTGAGCCGCACCGTTTGAAACCCATTTGCTTTTCCTCTTGTCCCCTCTTCAGTCGTCAGGACCAGTCAACAGTTTCTGTTCTTGTGTTCACTCAGGATGGACATTTTGAATCAGCCGGTCGTGAAACCTGTCTCGAGTAAATATCAAGAACACAGGTTGTTTAATTTAAAGCTGCGGGTGAGCGAGGATCTGCTTGCGTGTGAGGATAGAAGTTGATCACCGCTACCTGAAGCTTTGGCAGTTGGCCTGGAGTTATCCGAGCACGCTCACTACCTCCATGCCCGCTGAGTGTTTTTCTGCTTTAGTGCTGAGCAGCAGTCACTAATAAAGCTATATCCGTTTGCTCTCTCCTCTCTCGCCTTTCTCATTCACTGAGGCTGTTTACAAAGACTTTGTCCAATACACAACCGTCAACGATCAATAATATTAAAGGAAATTCCCACCTGGTTTGTACTAATCAGGACAAGTTAGTGAATTAAATAAACACTCGGATCAGTCAAGCAACGTTAGTAATGGGTCCCTTAGCTGGAATTTGTAAAGACATGATTTATTGTTTAAAAGAGGAAAACGGAGTGTGCTTTTCCTGCGCTGATGTTAAGGCTGTTTCAAAAAGCAAGACGTCAGTTGTTGTTTTGAGAAACAAATTCGTTTTCTTGAATTTGAGCAGGCATACATCCGTAGAGATTTAGGTGATATTGGACGACACCGAAAACCCTTGATTTCCTGAATGCTCTACCCAGAGCGTTCTTCTTCTGTAATAGGCTGAGTCTGGTCTTACATGGTTGTTGGCAGCAGGGATCCAATCTCCTCTCAAACCAAAGTCGTGTCTTCTGTTAAACTGGCTAAACATTTGAGTAGTTGTGACTAAAGAGATGTTTCTGTTTGTTAAAGTCTCTGAGTGACTTCTGTGAATTGTGAGTTCAGCTCAACTTCTTTGTTGCTGTTCTTTCTCTCAGAGATCAGGCTTATTTTATTGTTTACTCATCACTTGCGCAGCTCTGTTGGTTTTACTGCTGCTGCTCCGCATTAAAAACTTTCCACCGAAGAAGCGCTCCGGTGGCCTTGGCACTGAGCATGAACTGAAATGTACCTTTGGCTCTCCCTTCATTTCCTGTCATCTCTCCGCTGTTAACTCAGCAGTAAAAGCACTGAAATGCCTCAAATATCATTTTAAGAGCCACAACAGCAAACCAGCAGGATTATATCAAAACGCAGTGTATAGGTCATCAAGCTTTTTTTTTTTTGTTCAGCGGCTCCACTGTCTGGAAAAAACGTAAAAATTATTTGGAACCATTTGGTCAGATTACTTTTTTAATATTGCCAGGAGGAGAAGGAGCAGCAGACAGAAGCCGACGTCCTCTGAAGTCTGCACGTTTTCCCGAAAATTTCCAGAGGGGTTGCATGTGAGAACACAAATGTCCGAGTCAGTTGCTTTGGATATTTTTCTGAACTATTCTTGCCGGCCCCCCCCTTTGGAACAAATTGACAGTGAGTGGACGTGTTGATGTGAACAGCAAATATCCCAGAGGCAGGAAAGATGCGGACGGAGATTTGAGAGAATTTTAAATGTCGTGTGTCGTCATGCCTCCTGCAGGCCCTCACCTGAGCGTCCCTGTTGTGAAAGCGTCTGTCTCAGGAAATCTCCTGCTGAGTTCTTCATATGTAAAAGACGAGCTCTTGAAAACGCAGAGGCCGATTTTTCTGGATGTTTTCCAGAGTTCATGTCTTTAGAAACATTTTTCAGATGTTGACGCTGCAGCTTGTGTGAACCAGCTCAACCTCCAACACATGATCAAGCTTGAAAAACCTATTTTCCATTTCCCTGCTGTCCAGTGGAAAACCAACAGCTCCGTGCCAGCATGACTTGAATGGATTGTGGTTTTTCTCGTGGCTCAGCCCAGCACGAGTTTCTCTACCTGCTCGGCCTTTTTATTTTTGGCTCTGGTTCGTCCGTCCACTCATCATTTCACATAACCCTCACGTTTCTCCCTCACGCTGACTTTCATCTTGCTCCTTTTCTTTTCATATCTGTAAAAGCTGCATGGTTCTTTGTCTCTCGCTCTCACCTCATTGCTTCATCTGTCCACTTGTCTCTTGTCACTGCGTCTGACCGTCCCTCCTTTCTTCTTCATTGCATCTTGATGATACCTGTTCGTCCCTTCCTTCACTACTCTCTGCTCGTGTCTCACCTGGACTTCTCTTCTCGCCTCGCTCTCGTCATTCTTGGCTCTCGCTCTCCCTCTTGTCTGTTTTCAGTGCTGTGATACAACCTGCTGCAGTTTCACCTTCTTGGTCTGTCTCTGTGCCTCTCGTAACCTTCCCCTCTCACTCCCAACCCTCTCACCCTCCTGACATATTCGTTCTTTTTGTTTTTGCTTTCATTTCCTCCTTATCCCCATCTCCCTTCTCACCATTCGTCTTTCGCTGTCCTCCACACGTCTCCCTCGCTCTTTTTTAAAAAACATTTTCTTTCACCTTTTTCCCGCTGTCTTCGGCGTCTCGCTCCTCTCCCTTCTCGTCATTCTCCCGACACCCTTAACCTGTTTTTCTTGTCTGTCATTGTTTTTAGTTTTTCTCTCCTTTGCTGTTTCTTACCTTTCTGTCTTCCCATTAACTCGGTCTTAACTCTAAGCTTTTGGTTGGATAAAAACAAACAGAGTGAGAAGTTTGTGCCTAAGTCTCTTCTTTTCATTGGATTTTATTTGTGCTTGGAATGTTTTTCCCGTCTTTATGTAACTTACAATTCTTAATTTAGCAGATTTGATTTACTCGTGTTGTGAAAGTAGCCGGCTTCAGCTGTTTAAATCTGAGATATCGATTCCTGATATTAATGTGGCAGATCAGTGATAAGAGATATTGCTTAAATTAAAATATGCACCCAGTGTCTGACATCGTGTTGTCATGGCAGTGTCTGAGTGTCCGCACACATTCTTGTAAACACAATAAACGAACTATGGCAGTGAGATGCCTATGGCAGTGTGAGTTTCACTTCACACTAACGCACACTGACTCCACAGAGATGGTCTGATTAGATTTTACAGCACCTTGCTGCATTATTTTGCATATTAATGAAGAGAAACTAATTTTCCTGAAGCTACCATAGTCCTGTATTGCTTTAAATAATGAATTAAAAGTAATATATTAACACATTAATATTAATTCCAATGCGTTAATTTGTAAATAATGCATTACTTAGCCTAATGACCTTATGAGGATAACTGGTAATGTTTTATATATCAGATCGTTTCCAAACAACCTCCTCCCTCTAATGTGCCTCCTGCTCTGAGCTCTGATTGGATTTGTCTGATCAGATTTCACTCTCTGATCGTGTCTCAGTCTGGATCAGCTTGTAAATTCGTACATTTAAAGAATCCTGGTGGCCCCGAAATGACCAGGAAATAAGAGATTAAGCCTCACACACAGGATTTGGTGACTTACATGATTAGCATCCACTCGGTCTGATCTTGGTCAATATAATCTGCCCGTGCGCTTTTTTTTTTTCCTGCTCAGGGAAACATGAGCTGCCAAAGCATTTTCCTTAAAGCAGAATTAAAAAGAAACACAAACTGCAAAACATATCTCGTAAAAGATTTGGCTTTTGGAACAGTGTGGGCATCCGACCAATTGAGGGGGTGTGTTTCACAGTTTGGCAACTGGCTGAGCGTAAGAGACGGCTGCAGCTGACATGGCTACTCAAGAGGAGCGATGAATTTAAGGGAGGAAGAAAATGATAATGTGATGACTTGCAAAGCATTTGGCAACAAATGGAGGGGGAGCTGCAGGTCCTGAAACAGCCTGAACACGTCTATACAACATCCAAGTACTGAGTTTGAATCTAAGTTTGTCTGACAGTTTAATTTAAGTAAATCCACCAATGTCTTGTTTGCTACAGCAGATGTTGCTTATATGCAGATGGGTAAATAACATCATCTGGCTTTTTCAATCATTAAAAACTCTTGGTATCTCCGGGTAATTCCTTTGCACTGTCTCTTAATGATTTCCTCCGCAGGTGAAGAAGGACTCTGTGGTGTCCTGCGTCCTGGACTCGGAGGCTGTCGCCTGGGACCGTGAAAAGAAGCTGATCCAGCCCTTCCAGGTCCTCACCACCCGTAAAAGAAAGGTAAGACGTGGACGAAATAGAGAAAGAAATCAAATGTTCATGAAGGTAAAGCAGACAGAGGAGATTGGTTAGGATGACACAGAACAGGCAAAGGCGTCGAGAAGAGCGGAGGGGAGTGTGTGATTGCAAATGTCAGTGATGTCAGTTGTTTGTTTTTTTTTAGTTCTGATCAAAATAACGACCTCTTCCTTCCACACCAATCACATCGGGGGGGGGACTGCTCCGTTTACCCCGTCTTTTTGCATGCACCATGACACCCGGGCAAATTAGGAAGGAAGAAATGAGAGTGCAAATATGGAGCCCAGGATGATGAGAGTGGGTGAAAATGATTATCCTGATGATTTCTTTTGCTGGATACTGTTACAGCCACTATGAAACCATGATTAGTTATAATGACAGTTAGATGCACAAACTGATTGTGATGCCCTGACGGCAATTTATGTAACAGCATCTCGACTGTTTCTTCCACCTCGAGCGTTCTTGTTAAAAATGAAACATTTTCAGATGAGGAGATGGAACCAGATATGGACTAATTAAACACTGTTAATGAGCGGAGGGGAAGTAATGAGCAGAGTGAAGGAGGGCAGCGATAAATCAAGGGACGAATCTTTCAAATTTGGAGAGTGCTGTGGTTTTATTGTAATTGCTGCCTGATCAGTTTCCTTCACCACTGGTCGCAGACGCTTTGTAATGTTATTAGATTGGATGAGGAGGATACCATGCGATTTCCTTTGTGACGTCAAACCGAGTCTAATTATAACTCGAGAGGAGATTCGTGCATTAAAATGTGTTTCACCGAGAACAAATAGAACTCGTTTAGAAAGGTTTCCTCGTGGTTGTTAAGTGTAAAGTGAGCGCAGGTCTGCAGGAGCGTGGAGGAGGACACTTGGACAGAGACACGTTTTAATGATGCTATTTGATTTAGTAAATAAAACTAGCTTTCAGGTTGACATACAAACGGTAATCGGCCGACAAACAGTTGACACAACTTGGTCCTGAGAATTCAATATTACTTCAGTGCAGAAATCATGAAATCTTCAGTCAAAGAAAAGAAAAACTGAGAGGAAGGAGAAGAGGTTTGTGAAACGTTGTGTATGTGTATGTGTAACACAACGCGGAGATGCAATGTTTTAAAACGACGGAGGGAAGGCTGACTTTCAAAACCGTACGGGAGGGAAATCAAAGAGCGCTTTGTAACAAGTACCAAGGTTAGATGTAGCGATTTGTGAGTAAGATGCGTCAATTTGCATATTTTTGTCAAGGGAAAAAAACATTAAAATGCATATTTGTCTGAATGTGTGTTGATGCTTCCCTGCAGGACGTGGACGCCTCGGAGATCAAAGTGCAAGTGTGTGTGTACGCCTTTGACATCCTCTATCTCAACGGCGAGGTAAGACCCAGTGATGAGGAGGAGAGTATTACCCAGAGATCTCTCCCAACACTTCTGTTGTCATTTAAAACTGCTGTGTGCGTGCGTGTTTATTGTTTGTGAATGTGCTTGCATACTCATCGCCCTGCAGAGATGCCAACAACTTCCCTGAATGCCAATGATGGTGCTACTGGAGGCCCTAATGAGATAATGATTGTAACGCTCATTGTAATTCCAGTGGAGTGTGTCTGAGTGAGTGTGTGTGTGTGTGTGTGTGTGTGCCCGCGTCTGTCTGAGACTGTCTCTGAGTCTGTGTTTGAGAAACCGGTGCACTATTTTAAGTGTGTGTTGGTCTTGGGTGGTAATTGTGTGAGATTGAGTCTTTATGTTTGCAGCCAAATAATGCAGCGTTTTTAAGCAAACGCTGAAGCTCTAAGTCAACCGAAGAAAATGCTAATCAGCGAACGTTTCCATCAGTTTGTTCGTTTTTTTTCCCAAGTGGACGACAACAAAATGACATAATTAAAAAAGCAGCAGTGACTGTAAAGCTCTGCCGTTTATTGCGGCGTCCCACCTAATACGGCATTTATGTAAATTTTATGAATTCATTTGTCTCTGTAAGAACATTCTTTGTGTCTTATATATATTTCTTTAATTTATTAGCTCATGTCCTTCGTTTGTTTATTTCTCTTTGCCCACAAATTGGGAATGTTGGAGTCCCTGTGCACTGCGGCTCTCTGTGTCCCTGAGAGTTACTTCATGCTGAAGCTCAAACCAACCAGCAGGAGCAGCAGCGGCCACCACGAGGACACCAAGGTCGTGTCCTTGGACTCGAGAAGACATGAGAAGGATTTCAAAGCTAAAATTGAATTAAGATAACAGCATTTTGTAGCAACATGACTATTCAGGCAGCTGTAAGACATGATTCAAAATTCATGCCTTTGGAGCTCGGGAGGTAGAGCCGGGCTGTCCGCTTATCAGAGGTTATCAAAGGTTGCTGGTTCGATCCCCGGCTCCTCCGGTCCTTGGGTAAGACTCTGAACTAAATCAAGACGAAGAAAGACTTAAAATGTCCCTTGTTCTTTACTGGGACAATCTGCATCTATTCACTTTCAGTGCTTCTCAGATTCATAGCTTCTCTGTTGAGGTGCTTTTCTATCAAGTGTTGAAAGATTTAAAGTTCGGGGGATTTGTGGACGTCTAATTCATATGTTTTTATGGATTAATGCCTCAAGAACAATAGTAGGTGGTGGGGAACAGACTCATTGTGAGCAACTGAGGGTGTGTGTATGTGTGTGTGCGCGTCTGCAGGTTTGAGACTGTATGTGTGTGTGTGTGGGCGTTTGTATGTGTGTCCAAAGCCGTAATGACTGTGTCTGTGAGTTTACTCTGAGAGTTTGTTTGTGTGGGTAGCTGGTTGAGATTGCATTTCATCCTTGTCATTGAAATGCTTCAAGCTACGAAGAAGAAAATGGTTGTTATAATACAGTTTTTTCCAGTTGTAATAATGCACGTGTACTTTGTGTGTGTTTGTGTTTGTGCGTGCAGTCCCTGGTGCGACAGCCGTTGTGTCGGCGTCGGGCTCTGCTGAAAGAAAGCTTCTCAGAGGTGGAGGGAGAATTTGTGTTCGCCCGATCCATCGACTCCGACAACACCGACACCATCGCGGAGTTCCTGGAGCAGTCTGTTCGAGGTGTGTGTTCGTGTGTGTGAGACTGTGACAGACTCACTTGTTTTCCTTCTCGCTGTCTTTTTGTGTCTTGAACTTTGTGTGCGTGTACTAACTGTGCTCTTGTTTCCTCGCCTGCTGTCCCTGTGCATCTTGAAGATTTTTGTGTGTGGGTGTGTTGCTGAAGTTTCATTTGTGCCTCCACATGTAAATTGTGCGAGGGCTGTGTGTGTGTGTGTGTGTTAGTTGTGTACTCGTGCTGCTGTCTCTTTGTCGAGCCAGGATGTTGGTTTGGTTTTGCCTTTGCTTGAGTTTGTGTGTTAGCAACAGAGATGGAGCCTGTGAGTTGTGTAATTGAGTTTTCTTGCATTGTGTTTCCAGCTCTGTATAAGAGAGAGAGCATATATAATGCGTATCCCAGTGTGTATTGTGTGTATATGAGTCATACGACTGTGTCCTGCCCCTCTTTGTGTGTAACACAAGCAGACAAAGGCCTTTTCGTGTATCTGAGAGATAATCTGTTCATTTCCTTTCTGCACATCGTGTTTTATGTTTATTAATGTGTGTGTAGATTCCTGTGAGGGCCTGATGGTGAAGACTCTGGAGAAGGATGCCACCTATGAAATTGCCAAGCGCTCTCACAACTGGCTCAAGGTGTGTGTCTGTGTGTGTCTGTGTGTGTCTGGTAGTTGGGAGTCAACACTGTAAAAACAGAAGTAACCCTCGTACACTCGATACACAACCCTGGCAACACATTTTTATGTTTATGACACAAATACATAAAGTATAACGTGACGATAAAGTTCTTTATTTGTTTACGCTTTCTTGTTCTTGTTTATTGAAAAAAATACAAACAATCTTTTTTTTAGTGACACAGAAGAATTTCATCTTAATCCAACGAAACAGAATAAAAGAAAACTGAAAGAACGACAAGTCCTCGTAAAGACAAAGAACTTTTTCTAAGAGGGACATTTTTCACATTCCTCGGTTGATTTAAAATCTCTGCTTGGGACATTTTCATCCAACCTGTATTCAGATTTCTGGAGGACAAGAACATTTTAGAATCCGTAAGCTCGTCAACATTTTCAGGCAGCGGTGTAGACCTCTGCCATGTCCCTCACATTATTAATTAATGACATATAATTGTGCCCTCTGGCTTTTGACTCATGCAAAGAAAACTGATTCCCTGGTCAGGAGTCGTAACTGATGTAGTTGTGTTGCATTTTTCAGCTTAATGTGTTGTATGAAATATTGTTAAACCCTTCATCGTGATATTTACGCTGATACCCTCTCACTAAATGCTTTTTCCCGCCACAGCTGAAGAAGGACTACCTGGAGGGGGTCGGTGACACAATGGACCTGTGTGTGATTGGTGCCTACCTGGGGAAAGGCAAGAGGACGGGCACCTACGGGGGCTTCCTGCTGGCGTGCTACGACGAGGAGAACGAGGAGTTCCAGTCTATCTGCAAGGTGTGTGTCTGCACTAGCGCTCTAAAACTAGCTTAAAGTTCTCTGCAGCGTATAAGGTCTTCAGGTTTGTTTATTCCTCCTGAAGGTTTCAAGTTGAATGATTTCTTACACAATCTGTGAAATAATAAAAACAATCAGCTTTTTTAAGAGCACATCCATTACTGCAGTACAGAAACATTATCAACTCTTTAACTTCTGCAAAAATACCTTCACTGTGAGACCAACACGTTCGTTTGTGCCAGTCATCAAGGTAAAGTCATTATTTATGCTTCCTAGTGTTGCTATAGACATTTTCAGACTGTCTCCATGCGCGTATTTGAAGTTGCGTCTGAAATCCCCACTATAATTCTCTGAGAACCACAGACGCCTGGAAGAACCCAGGAAAATATTTATTTTTGTATTTCGTGCTAGTTTTAATTTATCTTTGGATGAAGACGTTCGTCAGCTGCCTTGTTGTAATAAACAAACTCGAAATAAACATGTTTACTTTCACTTTTTAGTTCTTAGCTTACGAGCAGATCTACGATACCTATAAAAAGAATTAAGCGTCCAGCGTCTCATTGGCCAGGTCACATTAAAACCATAATAATAATACGTTTAACTGCAGAACTCCTGCTTTAAACTGGATTAGCTTTAGTCGCTGTGTCAAACAAATTTGTGTGTATTTTAATGTGTTGCTGCACCTTCAGCCGTTTGTTTGTCAACTTGTTTGTTTCTCTTCTGTGCGATTTGTATTCCAGATCTTTAGCATTAAGCTGCTATAGAGTGCAAGGGAAGTGTGAGCGTTCCCTGTTTACGGCTGTTTGTTGCGAGCGTGTGCGCTTCGGGGTGTTTTTTTATGTTGATGCAGCTCAGTGTATTTTGGATGCGATTGTTGTTTTTGTTTGTTTGTGTGTGTGTGTGTGTGTGTGTGTGTGTGTGTGTGTGTGTGTGTGTGCAGTTGCTGTGTTTGTGTCCGTGTCCATTTTTTCAACCTCCTAAAATTGGAGTTGGAGGTAAATCTTGGTGTTTAGAAGTGTGTGTGTGTGTGTGAGAGAGAGAGAAAGCATGACAGGGTGCATTTCAGGATAAGTGCTTAACATATATTGGAGCATGCGTGACCACTTGAATGTGTGTGTGTGCGATAATGACAGCGTGAACTTCACCACCGAGCATAAATCCAGTCTCCTCTCTGTCCTGTTAAAACCCTCCACCTCCAGTTTTCCCCTCCGTAACTTTTATGCCTTTATCCATGAAAAAGGGTTTTAGCGAGCAGCGAGTGCTTCTCTTTTTTTTATATTTTCTTCTTCTTCCTCCTCTCAGCACCACCTTCTTCACTCTTACATGCTTACACACATTCACACCTGGGAGCTCCCTGGCACAACCTCAGCGCTCTGCTGTCGGACGCTGAGCAGCTCCGCTGTAGCTGATGGAGGTTAAAGCACCCATGAGATTACTCGGGGGTTTGCATTTCTGGCAGCTCTAGTGGTTTTCTCGTGTTCACACTTGCTTCCTCCATAAATAAAATCTCATTGTAAAATGTTTTCACACATGGAATAACTGTCCTGGTGAGGGGGGGGGGGGGGGGGGGGGGGATGTGAGTTTGAGCTACACAACAGAAGACTGCACCTCCTGTGAAAGATATCGGCAGAATAACCCCCGTGTTTTGTCTGTTATTGATTTTCATATTAATCTTTCCATGCCTGTATAGCTGCGAGCTCCAGAGCGAGAGCCTCCATCAGTTTTCATAAGATTCTCGTGAATGAAGTATCTTTGGGACGAAATCCTTCACATTTTACTCAGGCGTTCACTTGGGCTCACGGATGATCTTAGATTGTGGCGGTCAAAGGTTAAGATCACCGGTAGATCGTAAAAACACTTTCCGGCCCTTTATTCAGCGCCATTACTAAAGAACAGAAGGGGGAGTTGTGACCATATTTCCTGCAACTTCACAAGTTGGTGGAGACAGATAACTGTGAGGCGGTAAATCTAGTGTCATATTCCCGGGCATAAAACTTTATGGATATTACAGACAATGTCATTTGGTTCCTATGCCCTTAATTGACAATCAAAAAAACGGTGCAGGGAGAACAAACTGGGAAGGAGAGTGTAGCTTTCATTGTCACAAAACAGGAATGTCAGGAGGCTTACACGGCGAATTCTTACATTGCTTCTATTTATATCACCTTTTCTATCACGCAGCATCATGCACTGTCAGTACAGGGTTCAGTATCTTGCCCAAAGACTAGAGGAGCTGGGGGAATCGAACCACCGACCCTCTGGTTAGTGAATGACCTGCTCTAACTGATCCAGGACATGGAGCAGCAATCTTCTCAGATCTTGAAAGCATCGTTATCTACACAGGAGACGTGATCAGCAGCGTGTTAGCGAACTCCGAGTCAGTACGGTGCAGGTAATTAACAGACTGATGGATGAACGTGGCTGAAGCACCTTGAGTGGACGTGATGCGTCGCGGCAGTGCAGCAGTTCTGTGTCATGTGACTGCAGCATTCCCATTTCCTGCGTGCTGCACGTCATCTCTCTTTAGCTCGGTCACTCGTCAATGCCAGCCGAGAAGCAAAGGCAGAAATCCATAAAAAAAAAAAAAGAATCTAGTTGTCCTTGACACGGTAATCTTCACAAGCCCTGAACGCAAAAACTTAAGTCTCTGTCTTCATTTCCCAAATGTAATTTCAACTGTACGTCCCACAGAAATGTCCTTGAGCGAGACAGTGAGTCCTCAGCTGATCCAGGAACAGTACTGATGCTGTGAGTTGGTTCCTTCTGCTTTAAAATATACATCTCTACTTTTATTCAGTAGAGATTGTGAACAACAGACAGGAAACGGGGGGGGGGGGGGGGGGGAGTGCAGGCGAATGAACTGACTGTAAACAGTCCTGTCACACTGGACACCTGCTGATCAAGGCCTGTCTGTGATGTCGTCTGCACCCTCGTCATTCAGCGAATCGTTCGCCCGGTTCCTTCTGATGTGATACGTCCTGGATTCAAATACTCCTTTTGTTTCTGCTCATGGGAAAGTTCATGTGTAGCTGCTCGTGTTGGGATGACAATAAAACGCAAATGTTTATTAATGTGATTAAGCGCAGCGTGTGAACGGGTGACTTCCCGCACTGCATACAGATGTGTCCTGAAGGCTTCTCTCTAGGTTTGGTGTGATTACCTGGAGACCAAGGTTCCCGTGGACACCTGCAGAAAAACACCCTCAGACAATCCTATGTTTGCATGATATGCCCGCCTTCTTCTTTTCTCTGTCTGTGCACGTCAGCCCATTAGATGATGCTGGTGTCTCAGCGGGTTCGGCTCTTTCGAGAGGTGACACAAAGCTTCAGGCAGAGCAGGCAGACGAGGCGCTCATGGTGTACAGGGGGGGGGTGGGGGGGTGTTGCTTGCTGTTCTGTGTTCTTCTTCTCGCTGCCAAATGTCTCCCCGTCTCACCATGAGGGAATATGTGTTTGTGCGTCTCTCTTATCTCCTTTTGTCTCTTTCAGATCGGCACAGGTTTCAAGGATGAAGATCTGGAGCAACATTACAAGTTCTTAAAGGTAAAGTGCTGCAGTGCGACTGTCACGCTTCAGTACAACAGCTCAGTTCACATCACAACTCTGCACTTGTTTGCGAGGAATTGACACCATCATTTTTCAAAGTCATAACCCAAATTGATCATTCTGCTGCTATAGCTTCTTTCTTTTTTTTTTTTTAAACGGAATCAGATTCAGTTTCGTGGTAAACGGAGCCTCTCTTCAGGCACAATGCAGATTTTCAAACTCAAATAAGAAGTGTGCAGAGATCCTCCACAGTTCGCTTAAACTCAAAAATACAAGTTGCGCACATTTTAACACATCACCCCCCCCCCCCAAATAAAAACCTGATAACGCACTTAACATTTTCACGAGTTGCTCTGAGGCATCCTTCCACCAAGTTTTGTGGAAATCAGTTTATTTGTATTTTTGCGTAATCTTAGTTACAAGCAGACAGAGGTGAAAACAGAACCTCCTTGGCGGAGAGATGATGATGATGCCGTCACTTTTTTGTAACCTTGCCTCCAGGTACCTTTAACCTGACCAAGCTCAGGTTTTTTTTTTTTTTTACAGAAGATGATTTCTCTTCTTCCCTGAGGCTTGTCCACACACAGTATCTACTGTTAGGAACGCGCTTTATCCCACTTAAAGGAAAGTACAGCAATATAAATAACGTTGCTTTAAAATATATATATATATATATATATATATATATATATTGGCATAGAAATGTATGAATTCAGTCTGTGCTTGTGAAATACGGAGCCGAGATCGTAAACCACCTCAGTTTCACCAATAAAACGTGCGCTTGGAGTAACTGTGCAGGCTCAGTCTGACGCTGGGAAATGAATTGCTTTTTCAATTTACTGCTGAAGAGGTTTGTTCCAGAGCAGCGGCGTCAGAAGAAATTGACAACTGCTCTCTGCAAATGATATCAGTTGTTGATTTATTATTAAATTGTTGCCTGTGTTTTTAAACCTGCTTTTACAGAAACACGTGCAGAAGCTTTTTTTTTTTTAAATGCAGTCATCTGTGTTTAAAAGTGACTAATTGTGATGAAACACAGTGTTAAAAAAAAAAACCAACCAAAAGAACCTTGAAGTTAATTTTAAAAAAAGATTAAGGTTTGGACTCAGCGGTACAAACTGCTGCTCTCTGCAGAATCACAGTGAAGCAGTGATTGAAAGCCAGAGGAACCTGTATTTTTTTTTCCTCTTCGCACCATTCCACTGTGTGCTGTTGTGCTTTATAACGAAGCCCACCCCCTGAAAGTGATGGATGGTGAACCACGGCGAGCTGCCGGTGTGGCCGTGTTGCTTCGGTTGCAGCGCTGCAGGCTGATGGGAGACGATGTTCACACTCCGGGTGGTGCTGCGCTGTGATTTAACAAGGGGACACGTTGATCCCTTCTCCTTCTGTCCTGATGTTTATTCTGATAAAGTCCTGAACACTGGAGTTCTGGCTCGTAACAGCTCTCAGGCCTGTGCTCCTCTTTCTCCTTTTCCATTTAAAATCCTCGTGCGATTGTTATTGAACAGATGATCGATGAGTGACTGACGCCGACGGAGAGACAAGAACGGGGCGCAGTGTTCGATGCTTTCTTATATCTCGGGTATTAACTCGATGATTTCATTATCATAATTAATGAAGATGACACAAATGAAGCAGCATAAATTCACAAGTCATTTTCTTGATAAATTCAGTGTAGTGGTTATTAATTTCGGAGGCCTCGCTGTTTCTCATCCGACTGACGGTTTTTGCTCCCACCTGTTATTTGCATATGACTTTTTCTCTTTCACATTAAACACCAGCGCTCTGTTATTACTTGTTTTTAATCACCTTCTTTGATTGATAACAAGTAGAATTTACATTAAAAACCCAAGACGTACTAAAACTTGAGTTGACCTGCAGTTCTTCCTTTTGTTAAACTCTTGTTTTGTCGTCAGTTGTTGTGCTTCCCCCGGTGACGGCACCGGCACTTGATTATAATTACTCTCCTTAAATAAGTCGCTTTACATTTCCCCTCGAGTTTAATTCATCACCCGCAGCCAAGAGGTGTAAATGTATTCTAGACGACGCAAATAATGGCATGTGACAGAAACAGCTCTCACTCACACATTTTCAGGCTTGTGTAAAATTATGATTATGAATTTGACTTGAATTAACTTTTTAAACGGCGTTCGGTGTGGATCACAAATGAATAAATAAAATATATAGGTCGTCCACAAGTTTGAGCTTAAACAGAACTGGATTGTTCTATAAGACTCTACACGCCCACCTGCTCACTCATTGTAATTCACACTGTATAGGAGTATCACTCGAATGCCTCCAGTATAAACAGCGTGTGAGAGAAAAACCATGAGCCACCAGCGCTGCAGCCTTTTCCCAGATTCACTTCACTATGACCCGGCTCCGTGGCCTCGGCAGCAGTCTAGTTGACGCCGCACAGTTTGAGAGGCACGTTTTCTAAAATTCGCCAAGAGGAGACGAGTATCATTTTGTGAAAGTGTGACACCTTCGCTGACAGAATGATTGTGCCATTTATTAAAAAAAAAAAAGGTGCTATTAGATACTGTAGGAGTTGACGGTTACGGAACAGCAACAGCAACAGCTCAGCGGACGCCTGAGCTCAACTCTGAGGTTATATCTGTTTTGTTTTTTTTTTACCTGAAGAGGAAGATATCAGGTATGTGAAGGTGTTTCTGAATGAAGCCACTCGTGTCGGTGTCTGGTAATGTGGTTTCACACATTCATGACAAGCAGGCGAGTGTGTTCAAACTGTTCCGTCTCTGTGGAGATGATTGTGAGGCCGCGGCAGGATCCAGCAGCCGACGCCTCTCCGTCACTGTCGGTTCATCTTCTTCCTCACATTGTGTCTGCAGTTCATAAACACTTCACATGTTTCTGAATGTTATTCTCTGATATTTGATATTGATGATTAACGGGCGTCATTATTTTATTTTCTCCAGGACCACATTCTGCCCAAACCTCGTGCCTACTACCGCTTCGACCAATCAGCGGAGCCCGACGTGTGGCTCGACGCCGTGCAGGTCTGGGAGGTGAAGTGCGCCGACCTGTCGCTGTCGCCCGTCTACAAGGCCGCCATGGGACTGGTCAGTTCAGCGTGTTAATCCCCCCCCCCATGTGTTTCCACTGATAAATCCTGCCTGTCACGGTCGGGTGCCCGTAATGAAAAGTCACAATTAGCGCTACTTAATTGAGTTATTAAAAATGTTGTAAAAGATGCTGGATGTAATGGAACAGATATTTATTACCTCGAGGTTTCGGCGGCACGTTGGACCCAAACTTCCCCCTTGAATGTAAACGTGTTTGTTATAACATCTGCATCTCATTTAAATCAGCGATGGACAAATATAGATTTATCTAAAACATTTCATTTTAAGAAAGACAAACTATTGTTGCACGTTTTTTTACGTTGCTAGGTTGTAAGATTCTGAATTTAAAGATGGTATTTGTGCTCAGTTGTCCGTTCACCTTAAATCTTAATCTTAGATTTCAAACACTTGGATTTGTCATAATATTCCGATTCTCTAACGGCTTAGACCGTTCGTCAGAAAATGAGAAGTGTAGACATTAAACACCAGGTTCTGTTCGACAGGTCGTTTGTCAAATTATTTTAGGTCTTAAAAATTTATGTTGCCACAACTTTTCCCTTTAACTTATGATGTGAGTGACTTTAAAGGACATGATACGGTCGATTAAAGATTCCAGCACTAACACATTATTAGTGGTGTGAGACTTCAGCCGCCAGTCGTATTTTCTCAGGGTGCTGAAGTTACTTCTAACTCAAATTCACAATTAATCACATTTTGTTGACACTCGGACATTTTGTCAACATTTCACCAGAGGACTGACTGGAAAGATTTCAGGATAAAGTTCAGACTTTGGTGAAAGTTTAAAAGAAGCTATAGTTTTATTTTATTTTATTTTTTTTTTTGAGGCAAACCTGTGTAAAAGTTTATTAAAAAAGTATTTTACCTTTTATTTTTTGATTGGTTATGAGGCTGTTAGATGTTGAGCGAATAGTTGCGTAAGATTTCACGAGAAAGCAGTGACACAGAAACCTGAAAGACTTTTTGAAATCTTGAAGTAAAGTGATTCAATAGCCTTAAAGGCACTGACACTCGAAACTTCAACACAGCTCTGTAAGTTATCATTTTCAGAACAGGTCCCAAAGGACAAATCAATGACATGTATCGGTGGCAGTGTCCCGTTTACTCATTCTCATCGTGTCTGTCCTCAGGTGGATCCGGTGAAGGGCATTTCTCTGCGGTTCCCTCGCTTCCTTCACATCAGAGACGACAAAAAACCAGAGGACGCCACATCTGGAGCTCAGGTACGTCACTTCACCTGCACTGAGACGAGTCGGAGATCGTTTCAATTCCAGTTTTGCTCATTAATTCACTTTTAACTCACCTTTTGATTCCATTCATGTCAGAAAAACGGTTCAAATGTTTGATTAACAAAATATTATTTAAGCATCAAATGAACTTTCACATGGTTTTTATATATAAGTGCAATTAGAACCTCAAATCCTCTTTAGTAACAAAGATCAATCTACAGCAGTTAATTAAACTTCCTGCTAGTTGTTTTTGTGTTTGCATCTTTATTCGTCCTTGTTTTATTCGTCAAGGATTTTTCTCACTATCTCCACCGTCAACAAATAAACATCCAGAGGCAACAGTCGAAACAAGTAAATGTTAAAGCTCCACAGAAAAACTAAGCGTCACACAAAAGTAAATTTCCTCCGTCAGGAAAAGCCTGAGAGTAAATATCAGACTGTTTTCATGGAACCAAAGGTGACTTGAGCCTGAACGGATGCACAGGAGTCGTTTCTTTGACCACACTGGTACCTCTGACATGTGCGTGACGACTTCCTCACCGAGCTGCTGTGACACGTGTGTGTGTGTGTGTGTCCGCAACGCCAACGTGGCCGCCACTGCCAGAAACCCGATGTAGGCTGTATTTATATTATGCAAGTTAACAGATCATTAGGTGAAGGGCAGTAGTTTTCTGCTGCTTGCTCTGAATGTGGGTAAACAGAAATCTCACGACTGCTTTCGGTAATGTTTAAACACGGCTCAGCTGGCAGGAGCAGGGCCGCAGCTGCAACGCCACCAGCGTGGACGTGTGTGTGTGTGTTTGTGTGTGCCCACATGACAGCGCAGTGTTTGAACACTGTGTCTGAAAGCCGTCATGTTCACCCACGTTCAGAGCGAGCAGCAGAAAGCCACTGCCCTTCACCTAATGATCTGTGAACTTATTGACATAATATAATTACAGCCCACGTTGGGTTCTTGGCAGTTGCAGCAAAATCGGCGATGCGGACACACACAGGCGTGAAGGCCACAGCGGTTCAGTGAGGCAGGCGTTACGCACGTGTGAGGTGAGCGACGTGGCCTCTGACGTTTGCTGCTCAGCGGGGACGTGGATTTGCTTCTCATGTATCGAGGAGGAGTTCCCTCTACCGGAAGAAGCCGATGTGGGGAAAAAGTAGAATTGTCCTTCTCAAGATCACAAGATCCCGAAATGAGTCCCAGGGATGTTTGTGAAGACATAAAACAAAAACAAGTTGTTTTGGAAAAGAACGTGAAAAGAGAAAACCCGGGATCAGCCCCGTGGAGCGTGTGTTCGGAGGCACGCGAGGTCAAACTGGTCGACGCTGTCACTCGTCGATGACAGTGAAGCGGTGAAAACTCCGTCACATGTGAGTTGGACCATGTTACTTTAAGTGTCGTGTGGAGACGATGCATCATCATCATCATGGCGGTCGCCTCACAAGAGGCGTCCTGTAAAATTTCAAGGGTGAACAGCACCACAAGGACGGAGGTTTTTTTTTTATTTTTTATTTTTTATGTTTTATGCTGGGTCCTCTCGCTGCACGTCCCAGCACAAAGCTGTGGAAGAGGCGGCTGCAGCAGCTCCTCAGGAGTCCGGTGAGGGAGATGTAGTGTCATGCAGCAAACTGTGAGAGTTATTGTACAGTAGAGATGTGCAGAACAAGAGCCCGTGTTTCCACTGAACATAAAACCTTCTGTGGGGTTCTCTCTGATCACTGATGGACTCCTCACTTGTCTTGTGGGAAGATTTATTCAAAGATAAAATATTAAATTCCAGCGTTTTGTTTAGGTGTTTTTATTTATTCTAAATGTTTCCTGTCGACCCACCAGCTCATCATTATTATTTCATAACTCAACAGAACTGAGCTGAATTACTAGTCTGTACACAAATCTCACTGAAAATGATCTGGGGGAAGGAAACCTCCCTTTTTAACTTCTTCTTCTGCAGAGGCTGAAAACACTCTATTCATGTTCTCTTACAATAGAACAAAAGAATGGATTCCTTAAAGATAAATTAAGTATTTATCTCTTGACTCTCAGCTTTTCCGTCTTCATTTATTAATAAACCTCAAAACATTTGAATAAATGTAAAAACTAAGTTCTCAACAAACAATGGTTTTCATTATCACATTTTGTGCCAATAAGATCTGTGATTAATTACATTT